GCAAACATTCTCTCTCGGTTCGCACGTTGTTAGATTGTCGGTGTAGATGTCATGTTTTCTGTCAGTTGGGAATCCTCTAACCCTTCAGTTGACTGATCACCAGCCCTATCTAGGGCATCGGTGGATTGTCGATGGAGCCTCATAGGCGTGGATTCCCCAAGAATCTCCCTCTACGGGCGGTGATCAGACGTTATGTTGGGTTATGATCATTTGAAAAGCCTCGAACTTGTTCTTGATTTGACCCGCAATGCCTGTACCACCTCATGTATGTCTGGACGTATCGTCTCTCCATTGAATTATCTAGATGCCATGTTTCTTTAAGAGGATTTTTTATCTTAATAAGCTTTGTTTCTTGTTTGTGGCATGTCCATACTCACCACACCACCTTTTAGAATGTTGAATTCTAAGTTCACTTTCAAATACATGACTTAAGAGTTAGAGCAGGGAGAAGGAGAGAGAGAGAGAGAGTAGAGTAGTTAGAGAAATTTTGGAAGAGAGGCCCGAAAAAAAATTCGTAGACCAAGGTTCTTTTGCCCTCTATTTATAGGAGCATATTCATATAAGTAGATAATGAGGGAACAGTTAAGTAAATCATCCTTAACGCAAATAATGTGTTGATTGGACACTAGATTTGCATGATTTTAATCATAGATTTTTGTTACAATTTGAATATGAATGTTGTGGCTATCAGTGGTCGACACATTTTAGTTCGGTCGACCGAGGCGATCGGTCGAAGTGTGGTCATTCTTGTCGAAACAAAGTTGGTCGGCCGTCTTGTCACAACCAGACGTTCGTATCACATGGTTTTCTAATGAGATCCATTGATATTGTGTGCCGATTAACTTTGATCGAGCGGTCGGTCATTGAATGGTCGGCTCAGATCGTGTTCGTTCTGTTCGATATTATGATTGCCCGGTCGTTATCCTTGGTCATAAGATCGCTTCGAAATTTGTGCAGATAGTTATATATATATATATATTTGACTGTTTCATTTATATTACAACTCTATTTTTATATTCTCTTTCAGAAAGTGAAATACAATGCATTCCAGAAACTCTTTTAGAATAAAATAAAATTTAAAACAGACTTTTTCTACGAGCAAAATGAGCGTTCGAATTAGATGAATAAAATTTTTGGGGCATACATAACACCATGTTTTTATGTATTACACATCTGACCTTTAGAAGTGACTTTTTATATTTATACGTCACAAATATTTTACATTACATATAAAATATAATTATTTTAATTTAAAAAAATGCAATAAAATTTTTTCATGTATAGGTAAAATGATATCTATATGAGGAATAGAAGTTTTGGTGCTAAATATGTAAATACACAAAATTTCAGTTGTATTGATGTAAATCTTCCTAAATTTTTTTATTATATTTACAAACTAATTGTTTGGGCATTCTAGCACTAAATTGAGAAATTTTATTAATAAGTTATGCACGTGCAACGTTCTTTATAAAATAAAAACTGAGTTTTTCAAAATGCGATCAAAACGCATCAAACAAACAGCAGTACGACGTTTTCAAAACATTTAATAAAATTACTTCTGTTGCAAATAATATTAATGCACAAGGGCAAAATCATCATTTATAAAAAAACAACTGCAAATCAGTTATTTTTCTAAACTCACAAACCAAACAGCTAGCCAGTTTATCCGGATCAGCTGATAAGCTGCTTGTCTGGATAAGCTGTAGCTGCCTCAATCAGATCCTAATAAGGGTCAATCAATATTTTGCTTAGGGGCGAGCATTCAACCAATTTGGATGAATCAATTTTCAATTTGATAAATCTAATTACAATTGAAATTCAAAATAAAAAAATCAAACCAAATAATATTTTGATATAATTGAATAAGCCGAACCAAAATTAATTGTTTTCAATTGTTCAACTATGCACAAACTAATTTAATTATTGGTTAGAATTTGGTTATGAACTAACTAATATAATCAATTATATATATATTATATGTATAATACCAATAGAATTCCATAAATTTTCTATTTGTTTTATTGAAATGTTATATATAATATAAACTTTGATATTTATTTTTTTGTTTATTTCACATAAAATTAAATTAGGATATAAAATTTTAATTATTTTAGTTTTTGATTAAATAAAAATTAAGTATTTAAATTTATTTTAAAAAATGTATTTTTAAACAACAAAATTTTAAAATTTTGACAAGTAATTGCATGGCCCCAATTTTTCCCTGCAATCGTGAACGCGGGAAAAGTTTTCTACGCCCTAATAAAATTCCCCTCGACCCTAATTTCTGCTCGTCCGCGCTTTGTCCTTATCCAGTTGTGATCATGCTATGTGGGTTGCATGCCTTTGATTCTTGATGAAAATTGCAATGGACAATTGATGCAGTCTTATGTGAACTACGCACGCAAATATGTTGTTGCACCGAGGTATTGTGAAAATTGGTTGTGGCGGGATGAATTGTGGGAATGTTTTATAGGTAATGTCAATCCGATTAGGGGTTACTCAAAAGCATCAACAGTTCTGATCAAGCTGGGGGTTTTTAATTCTGACTTATTGACAATAGTTTTCACCAAATAAATAATTAAAAAAGCTTCATTACTTATTTTTCCAACTAGATGTAGAAGTAACTGTCAGGTGTGGAGCTTAATTTGATGCCAACGCCTTTGACAAAGAGTTCGACGCTTTTGAGTCTGGTTGTAGGTGCTTTAGCGCCCATTGAGCGAAACACAGGGGAGGGTGTGCTCAAGTGCCCTCCTTTGGGCATCTAGGCGCCCAAGTTAGGCACTCAAGCACCTATCACTCTTGTTCGCTCCAAAGAATACGACGCTTAGGCGCCAAGTTTGGACGCTTATGCGCTTGGAGCGGTTGGTGTGGTATTCTGTATTTAAGAGGTTGAATTTCAACAATGAAAATGTCTTCTTGTGTGAGAGTTCTTCAATAAAATTACAGTGAGGGTGAGAAGTGTCGTAGAGGAGGGCTTTGGTGATTTGAATGTGTGTTTATCACATTGGGTCGGAGTAGGTAGAGTTTGGAGCAATGTCTTGTAAGTTTTCTTGAGAGTGGAGGGGAAATTGAGTGTGTTCTTTGTAAATAATCTGATTTTATAGTGAAATTTTTCTGGTTGCGCGACTCCGTGAATTTTTTTTCCCATTATCGAGTTTTTACATGTTAAATTTCTGTGCGTTTTTTGGTTGTTTTTTTTTGTTTGTGCTTATGTTCGTAAGTTTGTTTCAATTTTTTCAAATCTACGCGATCATATTCCGTGATGAGGTTTAGATTTATGATTGAGTCTAAGCTCTTGTGAATTTTTAAGGGGATTTTTTTTTTTAAGTTTCCTCGACATAATGTTATTAGATGTGTTCGATTTGAGTGAGAGCAATGACCGATGAAGCAAGGTTCAAAGTGGAGAAATTCAATCGGACGAACTTCATATTCTGGAAGATATAAGTGGAGGATTTGTTTTATCAAAAAAAAGTTATACTTGTCATTACAAGAAATTTCAAGGAATTAATTTTTTGCCTATGGAAGAATGAGAAGTGTTGGATCGAATGACATTAGGTTTGATTCAATTGTTACTTTCCTCATTTGTTGCATTTAATATTGTGAATGAGAAAATCACGGTGGATCTCATGACGACATTGACAAAGATGTATGAAAACCCTTCTGCTTCTAATAATTTTTTTATTTATTTATGAAGAAACCATTCCACATGAAGATGGTGGAAAACAGTCCGGTGATGAAACATCTGAATAATTTCAATACTATGAAGAATCGGTTGTATTATGTGGGAATCAAGTTTGATGATGATGTTAGAGCACTGGTGATACTATCTTCATTGTCAGACAATTGAGATGATTTAGTCACGACAATGAGTAGTTATTCAGGAAATTTGAAGCTGAATTTCAATGACATCATGAGTTTGATGCTGAATGAAAAGTTTGTAGAAAAACAACGAATGATGAATCTCAGGTTCTGCTTTGAATGTTGATAACAGAGGAATGATTCTTGATAGGAATATAGACAAAGACAAATCCAAACCCAAGTCAAGCAAAGAAGAATGCTGAAACTGTGGTAAGAAAAGATAGTTCAAGGAGGACTGCAAAGCTTCAAAGAAAGCTGATAGTGAAGTATAAAAATAAATCTCTTTACATATGTCTTTACTAGTGAAATCTAAAATAACTTCCTGTTGTTATCCCTACTTAGCACAAATACATGTATCAAGCATATATTTTGGCATTTTAGGCTTCTATTATTCTTTCTGTTTTAATATGAGTTTCTTAACCTTTGAGGTTTTAGTTTTGGATGATTCCTGTTTACTTGACTGGTGGGAATTGGACTCTTGATTGAACCCTTTATTATGAGTTTTTTCTATCCGAGGAGCTAGATTTAAACCATAACTTGTTACAATTGGCCCAAATTAATTGGTTTGGTTTTATTCATATTGATTACCAAGAAAATTTGGCTTGCCCCATCATGCTTATGTTTTGTTTATTGGGCAGGTTTGTTTTTCTCATATTTAAAACTTCAATTTACTTGTACAAAATCAGAAGCATCCTTTACTTCCAATATGTTGTATATTTGACCTATAATATTATATTGTATTTTTAAGTATTTTATTAAATTACATAAGAAATATCGAAATGTAGTAAAAAGTCATCGTCGTAATTAGCCTTATCCCAACAAAATGAATTTTGAATATTGAACCGTCCTAAACTTGTTGAAATTAAGCTCTACAATTCACATGAATGTGAAGGCATTAAGAAAAACTAAAATGTGAAAGCTGAAACTAAGTTGTTGAAATTAAGTTCCACAATCCACATATCAAAACTCTGTGAGGTGACTTTTTTGTTGTTAATCTGTTACTTTTTTTTGTGGCGTTTTTTTGTATTCCTGTAGTGAAATCTGAAAAATAAGATGTGTTCAGAACCTTGAACCTGAGATTATTGTTTACTTTCAGATATTGGGTGTGGAAAGAACAGCTTCT